CTCTCCCTTTCCTCCCCCTCCTCCTCTTTCTCTCCTCCTCTTTCTCTTCTCCTCCTCCTCCTCTTTCTCCTCTCCTCCTCCTCCTTGTCATCCTTTTGCTTTTTCTCTCCCTTTCCTCCCCCTCCTCCTCTTTCTCTCCTCCTCTTTCTCCTCTCCTCCTCCTCCTCCTTGTCATCCTTCTGCTTTTTCCTCTCTCTTCTCTCCCCTCCCCCTCTTTCTCTCCTCTTTCCTCCTCCTCTTTCTCCTCCTGCTCCTCTGCCTCCTCCTCCTCCCACCTCCTCCGCTCTTCAAACTCCGTCCCCTTCTAGCACTGATGACGTTCCCTACTTGGGCCGCGAGACGTCTGTGAGAAAAACCACCCAGCTGGGAGAGCGCCACGGTTCAACCCTCAGCTACAGTCCTTCTCTTCTCTCCGTTCTTCCTTCCTTTCTTCTCCCGCTTCCCTTCTTCCTCTCCCCAGGAACAAGACAACCTGAACGATGCTGAGGAGCGCTGTGACCAGCTGATCAAGAACAAGATCCAGCTGGAAGCCAAAGTGAAGGAGATGACCGAGCGGATCGAAGACGAAGAGGAGATGAACGCCGAACTGACCGCCAAGAAGCGGAAGCTGGAAGACGAATGTACTGAGCTCAAGAAGGACATCGATGACCTGGAGTTGACTTTGGCCAAGGTGGAGAAGGAGAAACACGCCACGGAGAACAAGGTACGCTGGAAGGACAGACAGTCCTCGGCTTAACGGCCACAACGGAGCCCGACGTTTCCATCGCTTAGCAAGACACTTGTCGCGTTTGGCCCCATTTTATGACCTTCCTTGCCACCGTGGTTAAGGGGACTGGTGCGATTGTTAAGCTAGCCACATGGTCGTTAAACAAATCCAGCTTCCCCGTTGACCGTGCTGGCCGGAAGGTCGCGAAAAGGGGATCACGTGACCGACCCCGGGAGGCTGTGACCGTTGTAAATATGTTTTTAATCTTCCTTTTTAGAATTTTTAATAATTATATTTTTTTAAAAAAAACCTTTGGAAGCCGGACGCAAAATGCACATCTTCACACACCCGCCCTGGCATTGCTCCCTCACAGTTGCACAACCTCAGTGCACAAGGAGCCACCGATTGTTAAAGAACATCACAGCCACACTTCAGGGGCCTGCAGTCTCTGAAGCTCCTATCACAGCTGTGGGACTGGACAGGCTGTCTGGTTGCCCACTTCATTCTAATACGCTCTCCTCTCCTCTTCTCTTTTTTCCTTCCTTCCTTCCTCCCTCCCTCCCTCCTTCCTTCCTTCTCCTAATTCCCATTTCCCTCCCTCCCTCTCTCCCTCCCTTCTTCCTTCCTTCTCCTCATTCCCATCTCCTTCCTTCCTTCTCATTCCCATCTATCTCTCCGTTCCTCACTCCCTTCCTCCCTCCCTCCCTCTCTCCCTCCCTTCTTCCTTCTTTCTCCAAATTCGCATCTCTTTCCTTCCTTCTCATTCCCATCTCTCTCCCTCCCTCCCTCTCTCCCTTCCTCCTTTCCTTCCTTTCTCCCTCCCTCCTTCTTTCTCCTCATTCCCATCTCCTCATTCCCATCTCCCTCCCATCCTTCTTCCCTCCCTCCTTCCTTCCTTCCTTCTCCTCATTCCCATCTCCTTCCTTCCTTCTCATTCCCATCTCCCTCCCTCTCTCCCTTCCTCGCTTCCTTCCTTCCTTTCTCCCTCCCTCCTTCCTTCCTTCTCCTCATTCCCATCTCCTTCTTTCCCTTCCATCCTCCCTCCCTCCTTCCTTCCTTCCTTCTCCTCATTCCCATCTCCCTCCTTTCTTCTCATTCCCATCTCCCTCTTTCTCTTCCATCCTTCCTCCCTCCTTCCCTCTTTCCCCCCTTCCTTCCTTTCTTCTCATTCCCATCTCCCTCCCTCCCTCCCTCCCTCCCTTCCTTCCTTCCTTCCTTCCTTCCTT